TTTGATTAACACTGGACATGGGTGGGTCATCTGTAATCTGTTCTCTCACACCTGAATTTTTAAAAAAATGTTATGTGTGAACACTTTGCCTACATGAATGTATACCATGTGTGTGCCTATTACCCATGGAAGCCAGAAAAGGCTATCAGATCCTCTGAAACTAGAGTTGCAGATGGTTATGAGCTATCATGTGAGTGCTGGGAACCAAACCTGGGTCCTCTAGAAGAGCAGCCAGTGCTCTTAACCGCTGAGCCATCTCTCCAGATCCTACTTTTTACTTTTGAAATGGAAAGAGGATATGGTGGCACATGTCTGTAATCCCAGCATTTGGAAAATTGAGGTGAGGAGGGAGGGTAGCAAGTTTGATACCGACTCAAATTATACAGTGATACTCTTTCACAAAAGTTCAAACCAGTGATGCAGGAGTTAGCTTTCTGTAGGCAGGAAGGGAAAATGCACATGGTGAAAACTCTAAGTGGCTCATAAGTGTTACAGTGAGAAGACACTGAGATTTAAAGGAAGATTGTGTGTTGAAGTGGCAAGGCCTGAAACACTGAGGAAATGAATAAAAGGGCTATGGTTAGGCATGAGGTAACCAAACTGACGCCTGATATAGAGGTGAATCCCAGAGGCAGAAGCAGGTAGATCTATGAGTTCGAGGCCAGCCAGCCTGGTCTATAGAATTCCAGGACAGCCAGAGCTACATAGCAAGACCCTGTCTAAAAAGGAGAGAGAGAGAGAGAGAGAGAGAGAGAGAGAGAGAGAGAGAGAGAGAGAGAGAGAGAGAGAGAGACTGCTGAGATAAGAGGAGGTACAGGCTTGTAGGTCAGTGAGGACAGTCTGGCTTCCTTGCCCTCCAGCCTGTTTATAAATGATCATATAGCAGTGTCACCCATTCATATATTCTTGCTTCTAATATAACTAATTATAACAGAAAGCGTCCAAGAAAGCCTCTACATACATCAGGAAAGAAACCCCAGACCATTCCCTAAACAAAAGTTAACTATGAATAGTTAAGAAGAATGGCTGCTATTTCTTGAGAATTAAGAGAGCTCAGTATAATTAACAGCACTTGGACACCTGCAAGGTCAGATAGCAAGCTGGCCAAGTGAAATGACAGCTATCAAACAGTCAGAATCAGCAACTGAGAAAAAGCCAGAGCCAGAAATAGACAAGAGAGGGAATTTCAACTCCAACTAACCTGACAGGCAGCCCACACTCATAATCATCCCTTGACTAGGGGGACTAACCAAGAGCATGGCAGCCTGCTCTCTCGGAAGCTCAGCTGTTAATGCTCCTGGGACTGACCAGTCTCATAGGGCTTACCTCAGCCTGTTTCTGCTATAGCCCTATAAGACCCCAATAGGCAAAAGAATCCAATGACTTTTCCTTCTTTTAGGAATTCCTCCCATTCCACTTTCTTCTCTCTCTCTCTCTCTCTCTCTCTCTCTCTCTCTCTCTCTCTCTCTCTCTCTCTCTGTGTGTGTGTGTGTGTATGTGTGTGTGTGTGTGTGTTTCTCTCTCTCTCTCTGTGTGTGTGTGTGTGTGTGTGTGTGTGTGTGTGTGTTTCTCTGTTTCTCTCTCCCTTTCTTTCTCTCACTTATTTTGAGACAGGGCTTCTCTGTGTAGCCCTGCTGCCCTGGAACTTACTCTGTAGACCAGGCTGGCCTTGAACTCACAGAGATCCACCTGGCTCTGCCTCCCAAGTGCTGGGATTAGAAGTGTGTGCCACCACTGTTCAGCTTCCATTTCTTCCAAATTTCTCACTTTTAAAAAAATTTTTCTTAAAGCTTGCCTTTCTTTGCTTAATCCCCATCATTAATCTTCACTGTTTTGAGACAACAAGCTTGATGGCCACTATCTCTGTTGACTTTTGATGGCTGTTGAGTTGCTAGTATCTTAGAGTACAACTGGGTCAAGAAAGATTCTGTTGGACTCAAAATTCCTGTGAAGGAAGGAGAAAGGAAGGAGAACAAAAGGAGGGGAGGGGGCTAGAGAGACTGCTCAGTGGTCAAGAGAACATACTGCTATTTTAGAGGGCTGTTGGGGTTCTCTTCCTAGCACCCACAAAGGTAGCTCATAAACAATATTAACTTCAGCCCCAAGGAGCTCTGGCCTCTGTGGACACACACAGCACGCACTCACATAGATCCACATAGACAGACATATATACATGATTCAAAAGAAATCTTTTATTTTATTAAGTGGAGAAGGGGTGCTTTCTGAAGACCAGACCTGTCCCCAGGCTCAGTGGGCCTCGCTGTGTCTCTGCCTGTATTTCCTGGCTATTCCAAAGGACTCTGATTTTAAGATCTTGATTTTGGGTCTTCTCTTGGGGGTTCTCCAGTGTTATAAAGGTAAAATTTCAAAAGCACACCAAAGCTGAAAGTAAAAATGCCTGTTTTAAGTGTCAAAGCATGTTTTAAAGATGTGTTTTTATTTCATATGTTTGAGTGCCTACGAGTATGTATATGCACTTTATATGTGCTGGTGTATGTGGAGGCCATAGAAAGGCATCAGAACCCCTGGAACTGGAGTTATAGATGGTTGTGAGCTGCCTTGATAGCTGGAAACTGCATCCAGGTCCTTTGCAAGAGCAGCAACTGTTCTTAACTACTGAGCATTCTCTCCAATCCTATGTTAGGAGTAAGTTTTTTTCCTGCCGACCTGGGCCCAGAGCCACGCCTGCCACAAATAACACACAGAGACTCTGTATTTGATATAATTCTGTTGGCCAGTTACTAGTTTTTTATCAGCTAGCTCTGTCTTAATTATTAACCCATTTCTATTAATCTAAATATTTCCACGTGGTCTCATCAGAGAGAGGGGCTGGCGTTCTGCTCTCTCCAGTCTCTCCATGCTGACTCCTCCCTACTACCTCCTCTTTCCTCCTTGTCTCCTAGTCCCTCCTATCTTCCTTTCCTATTGATCAACAGTGCTTTATTATTAACCAATAAGATTAAACATATTTACAGAATGACATCTCCCATCACATGTGTTTTGTTTTGTTTTCTTGTTGCTTTTGCTTTATAATGACTCCATTTTGGAATCCAAAGAGAAGGTTGTCAAAATAGACAACCCAAGGTTTTCCAAGGATGTTGAGAAGGGGAAACCATCACATGTGGCTGATGGGGATATATACTGGGCATCAACTTTGGAAAGCAGTTTGGAAGTTTCTTTGGGAACCTAGATATGAATTTACCATATGGTTCATCTGACCTTGAGTATTTTCACAGGATAAATAAAGACATATCCATTTACTTAGTAACATATGTGAGAATGCTCATAGCAGCTTTACTCACATTACTGAAAAACCAGAACAATCAAAAATCTGTCAGCTGATAAATGAATAAACAATATGTGGAATATTATTCAGCTACAGAAAGGAATGAGGCATGGACACAACTAGATGAACATGGAAAAAACTGTGCTAAAATATAAGAGCTGGCTATATATTAATCTAGATTGTTCATGACAGGCAACCCCACAGGTAGAAAACAGACCAGAGTTGCCAGGGATATGTTGGGGAAGGTTGTCAACTGAATGATCTAAAACTAGATTGTTATGTGCCTTTAATTCCAGCACTCAGGAGGCAGAGGCAGGCAGATCTCTGTGAGTTCCAGGCCAGCCTGGTCTACAAAGCGAGACAGCTAGGGCTCAACAAACAGACAAACAAACAAAAACAAACATACGAATGAATGAAGAAATAAAACTAGATTGTGATGATTGCACAACTTAGCACTTTTATTAAAACCTTTATGAAAAATTTTAAAGGGGCATATATTAGCTGGGCATTGGTAGCACATGCCTTTAATTTCAATACTCAGGAGGCAGAGACAGAGGCAGAGGTGGATCTTTGTGAGTTCCAGGATGGCAGAGCTATTTTACAGAAACCCTGTCTTGAAAAACAGAAAACAACAACAGCAAAACCAAAAAACAAAAGGCACATATTTAACATGAAAATTATGCTTCAGAAATTATTTTTTTGCTAGTGTGTCTTTAATGGTAACTCTGGAAGTTTCAACAGTTACCACAGGACAACAGAACAGAAATGATCAGCTGATCTGGGGGACTCCTGGGAAAGGGGGGGAGAGACCAGAATGTTAAGCCTTTTCTAGGAGAGGGATGTCAGACATCCATGTGAGTCTTTAGGGAGGAGAACACTATGGTACAAGTACTTCCTGTGTAATTTCAAGAATGTCCCAAGGAACTGGCCCTTTCATCTGTCTGACAGCTTTTCGTGGATGCAAAGGTGAATTACAAGGAAGGCCCCAAAGCTCAGTTTTCCTGTCCACCAGCTCGGCTCACGTGATAGGACAGCATACAGCAAACATAGTGAGAATAACTTTGAAGGTGCAGCCTGTAAAAATGTCATTGTGAAATCCAGGTGTCTTAGACTCAAGAGGTTGGAGGATCATGAATTCAAGCTAATCTGAACTATATAGTGAGAAACTCAAAATAAAAGAAAGGCCAGGCAGTAGCGGAACAAGCCTTTGATCCCAGCACTTCTGAGGCAGAAGCAGGCAGATCTCTGTGAGATTGAGGCCAGTCTGGTCTACAGAGATAGTTCCCGGACAGCCAGGGCAACACAGAGAAACCTTGTCTCAAAAAAAAGAAAGAAAGGAAGGAAGGAAGAAAGAGAGAGAGAGGGAGGGAGAGAGGGAGGGCAGGCAGGAAGATTGGTGACTCACATTTGGAGTCTTGGCACTCTGGAGGCAGACTGCTATGAGTTTGAGGCCAGTGTGGGATACAGAGTAAGTTCTAGGCCAATTAAGACCACAGACTGAGACCCTGTCTCAGAAAACAGCAATCAAACAGAACCACAAAAAAACCAACCAAACAAAAGAGGAGTTCCACAACAATAGAAAGTTACAGTCTGGGGCCCCCTCTTTCTCCATTGCACATTTTCCATCTACTTCCAACCTCCATGCAGGAGGTGCCTACGTCAGAGTACAGGTGCACAGTCCTGATGTGATGCCAGGGGAGTATTTTGGAATGTGTTGATATGGAGGCTTGTGCTTCTTGTTGGCCTTGAATGTGATGTAGCCCAAGTGTGTCAGCCTTATGGACATTGCTCCAGGCAGGTACATTTGGCCCTCTTCACGAATCCACCCACTGATGTGGCATTGGTTAGCGTCAGAATAGCACCTGTCGGGAGCTCTTTCCCAGTGGCAAAGTTTGCAACTTCTCTAGGGGTCAGAGCCCGGTCCCAGATGGCTAAGCCAGATATGCTCCCTACAAAGGCCTCAGAGCTGTCAAACTCACCTCCCATGGTGTCTTGTTCCTGGCCCAACACGAGGGACCCTCCAGGAGGGATCTCATAGCCCTCTCTGAAGCGGGAGCCAGTAGCTACTATCCTTCGGTCAATGTGGAGCCAGTACTTGCCCTCCATGGATGTCCAGATGATACAAATGTGGTGCCACTGGCCATCCAGGAGTGGTTGCAGGGACAGTTCCCTGAAAACTGGGTCACCAATCACAAAGTGGATGGAGCCTGGCACCAGGGAATCTCGGCCATGCAGTACTAGCTTGTTGTCATTGTCCTTGGTAGCATAGGAAAGGAGGGTGCCCAGGTGGCCAGAGGCCATTCGGACCCAACTGCAGAAAGACAGAGCTCGTAGGGGCATGAGGAAACCGGGGCTAAGAAAGACCACATTTTCAGTGGAGGCGTTGGGAAAAATTAGCACCGGGCCCGTGTTGCAAACTGGAAACAGAGGGAAAAGAGTCATCCCCAAGCATGGGGCAGTTCAGAAGCACCTTGCTTCAGCCCTGCCCCTCACTCTCACCTATATCATCCAGGCCTCACTCCCTCTCTGCTGCACTCACCATCTGAACACTTCTGCTTCACAGGTAAAGACTGAAGATAACTTCTCAGCGAGTGGATGGACCCCTAGGTGTGACCCAGCTGTCGGTCTAGGAGACACCTCACAACCAACGGATCCTTTTTCTGAGCCCCCTGTGGCTGCTGTAACTCTGCTAAAAAGCAATTGACTTATACCAGCCCTCTTTTGCAGGTCATACGCCTGAACTTGGTCTCACAGGGTTCAAGACCCAGCTTCCCCTAGAGGCATCCCCTCTTTCTGTTTGGAACTGGTAGAAGCCCTGTAGACCTTGGTCCTGGCTATGCCCCAGCTCCACACTGTCCTCCAGTGTCCTCCAACTCTGACTCACCTGCCTGCCTTTTTCTCTAGCCTATCTATTATCAGTCAGATAATCTAGGGTGATTCTATAAGAAAAAAATCATTATGGCCCATTTTCAGTGTGAGGTGCCTTTAGAACTTATCCATGAACCACACTAAGCAACTGGCTCTAGGCCCCTCTCTTCCATCCAGTAGCTGTTACCTGCTTGCCTGGCACTTTTTTAGCTTATCTTAAATTGAAAAGTCTGCTATGTGACTGAGCCCAGTAACAGCAAAGAGGAGGGCATCACACAAGTCCAGCAGGATTTGGGGTGGGGTCTATCCTATACGTAGAAAAGATTGTGCCTCCTTGAAGAACTCAATCAATGAGAATTCAGGAGGCAGGGCAATGTGATCAGGGATACAAAAGTCACTGCTTTGTACCAGATTAGGTATATAAAAGTCACCAGCCATTTCTGCCTTTCTTTCTAGGTCACACTGGGTGCCTGCACAACCACAAACTAAACTATTTCACTCTTGCTATTCCAAGCCCTCAGTGTTCTTACTATGAAGTGAGGATCACTGTTTGACTCAATTCCTCATCTTGAGGCTGCTGATTCAATCACTTCAACAGAGGCCATTCTGCCATGTGACTTGACCTACTAAGGACCTGCAAGCGATAAGGATTGGGCCATTCTCTCTTCTGGTGTTGGGTATATGGCCCTTGGGGAGAAAGCTTTTTGGGGTGACAAGGGTGGGGAATGGCATTACAACCTCAGATATTGCTAGGGAAACCTGGAATTGGATAGGAAGGTGACAGGATTGTGTCACTTACTTGGTAGTGCTGATTGATGTCTGCTTGGGGCTCGGAACTTCTGTGTCTTCTGGACATGGACAGTGAAGTCTTTGGGGGAGCTCCTGTGTTGGAGTGAAGGCCTGGATGTCTGGCTGTTTCTCCACAGTTGCAAGGAACCTGGGCCTCGCTGAGCAAGCTGAGTGGGGGTGGGGGCTGCAGTCAGCCCCAGAGCCGCCCTACCAGAGGAGGCCCTCTGCATCTGTCCCTCAAGAGCAGCAATCCTGGCATCTTGGCTGTGGACTCGCTGTGTCAGGCTGGCCAGCACATCCTGCAGGACCCTAATGCTCGGGGCCAGGCTTGCAGTAGCCTCTCTGTGTGCCTTTTGCTCCTTTTCCTCCTCCACCCATTGCCTGCTTTTTGTGCTCAGAAAGAGGTTCAAGGCTTGAAGCTGGGCATCCACCTTCTGGCTCCTGCGCTGGGTCTTCCTAAGCCAAGTTTTTAGGTGGGCCACATCCTTTTGTATGGTGGCTTGAGATTGGTTCACTGCTAGAGCTATGGCCTGGCTCTCTTCCCCCAGGCTCTGGAAGCGGGCATCCATATCGTAGTACACATTATAGTTGCTGGCAATGTCCTGCAGGTGTGTCAAGGTCACCTGTTGGAATCTCTGAAACTGTAAGAGGACACAGCTGTCATGGGGTTGGGGTGAGGCTGGCTATCCTAAGTATACTTCAGAAAAACCTATTCTTCACCAAGACTATGGATGGTCCTGGACATAGATTGACCAGTTTGATCCTTGTCACCATGCTAGGACATGTGTGGAGATTATCACGAGCAGTCCCAAAGGGCCGGGAGCAAAGCGGGTGGCTATCTTCAGGTGCCACACTGCACGGTGTAAGATGTGGGCGCCAGGCTCACGGCCCTGGCTGTGGCCCTTCCTGCCTCTGAACCTCTGGAGGACCACAGGCAGTTATCTCACCACTGTGGTCCGCAGCCTCATTACAGCTCCAGAACAGCCAGGGTTACACAGAGAAACCCTGTCTTGAAAAGCAAGAAACACCACCCCATTTTAGATTTATTTTATAAGTGTATTGTTTTGCCTGCATATATGTATGTGTACTGTGTATGTATCCAGTGCCTTCGGAGGTCCCAGGGACTGGAGTTATGGATGGTTATGAGCCATCATGTGAGTGCTGAGGGTGCACCTGGGTCCTCTGCAAGTATCTAGTGCTCCTCCCCTCCCCCTCCCCCTCCTCCCCAGACAGGTTTCTTAGTAGCTGTGGAGCCTGTCCTGGAACTTGCTCTGTAGACCAGGCTGGACTGGAACTCACAGAAATGCACCTGCCTCTGCCTCCCAAGTGCTGGAATTAAAGGTGTGAGCCCCACCGCCCAATGTAGCCAGTGCTCTGAATTGCTGAGCTATCTCCCCAGCTCTAAGTGCACTTATTTATTATTTATTTATGTTTTTACAGTGATGGGAACTGAATCTAGGGTTTTGTTCATTCTGGGCAAGGCAGTACTCTGCCAGTGAGCAACCCTAGCCTTTACAGGCTTGTTTTGTTGTTGGGAATTTTTGGTGTTTGTTTGTTTTGATTTTGGTTTCTCTGTGTGATAGCCCTGGCTGTCCTGGAACTTTTTTTGTAGACCAGGCTGGCCTTGAACTCACAGAGATCTGTCTGCCTCAGCCTCCAGAATACTGGGGTTAAACCTGGCTCCTTTTCAGGTTTTTTGTTCCTTTGTTTTGAAACAAAGTCTCATTCAGTAGCCCAGGCTGGCCTAGACTTACTATGTCACTCAGTCTAGCCTCAAATTCATAGATTTTATCCAGATCTTCTGAGCACTGGGATTTTGGGTAACTATCATGCCTGGCTTTACCAGGATCAGTACAGAAAGTGCTTGGGCAGGAGAACTGTCTACAGATTCCCAAGCGGAACCCTTGGGCAGGCATATGTTTGAGGTAGACCAGCACTCTTACAACTCCCATATTTATGGGCATTGTCCTGCACTGTTGCTACCCAGGCCTCTCCAGCTGTGCTTTTTGGGCCCCCTGGAGACTGCTTTAAGTCTCCTGCACCTTCTCACACACATTGTCTAGTTGGACTTTAGAACACAGCTTAGCAAATACTTGCCTGATGCCAAAAACAGGTGAGAAAATTGTCAGCTTTCAGCAAGGACAGCAAACCAATGGCTGTGTCCAGTGAACACAGGTAGCAACTCTCTCTGTAACATCCATTCATTACCCGCTGCTGACTTTATACATCCAATGGCCCAAGTGTGTTTCACCTACCTGCTCTTCTAGTCGACGGAGCCTCTCAAAAAATGGTTTTCTTTGCCTAGCTGGGTCTGCTTCCTGCAACAGAGTCCCACATCCATACATGGACACCAAAATGAGGAGAAAAGACAAGGTCTTCTTTTTCAAGCAGCCCATGCTGGGAGACACAGACACAGGAGCTGAGGCTGGTTCCTGGAATCTGTCTCATGCAGCTCGCCACTTGGGATGGTTTTCTTCTTTCTGTCCTGGCTGATGGTCAGGTTCTTCCTGCCACCTTAATGAATGGCATCTGCCTTCTATCCAATGGACTCTGAGAACCCAAGGTTCCCAGGGAAACAAACTTCAAACAGGCACAAACAGTTTCTTTGGGAAATTGTTCTGGTGTTTGTACTCCAGGCTTTGTCTGTTTGGCTTGGAGGCAGACAGGAGCCAGTAATGGTTCTAACAGGAGCACCTAGAGTAGAGTCCCCACCAAGAAGTCAAAGCAGGACAGGGGTTGAGTGTGACTAGGAGGTTCTCAAAGCCAGGTCTGCTCTGACGCCCAGCATTCCAGCCATGCACAGCCATGTCCTATGAGTTCCCTTTGTATTCCCTTGGAAAAGAAATCCCTCTTGGTAATGTGACTGAGTTTCACTTTAACTTATTTATTTTTGTTTGTTTGTTTTTTTTAATTCTAGAATGGGATAAATTAAAATTAGCTATTGTTTTTCTTTCCAGGGAAAGGGTCCCGCTGTGTTGCTCATGCTGGTCTTGAACTCCTGGGTTAAGTGAACCGCTACAGCTTCAGCTAAGACTACAAGTATGTGATTCTCCTCTCTCTCTCTCTCCCCCCCCAAACAAATTGCACATGTTTTGAATTAATGTGATATTTCAATAAAAGTATTATGTAATGTTAAAATGAAGTTAAATATACCTGACTTTTCCAGACTGACTTTTGGTTTCAGACTGTGTAGGGGGATTATTGATGCCCCTGAGGAGATATATCCAAGTTCTGACCCCAGGACCTGTGAATATAGTCTTATGGGAAAAAACAGCGAGGCATCTCTTAAGATGGGGTTACCCTGAGGCACCTATATAGCCCTGCAGTCAGCAGCAAGTGTCCTAATAGAGACAGAGAGGACACCACGGAGAAGACCCAGTGAAGATAATGGTAGAGATGAGAACACAGCTTCTGTGGGGCTCACCTGGAGTCCTAGAAGCCAGTGGAGACAAAGGCCTTCTCAGCAGCCTTCTGAGGTAGCATGCCACCTTGCTTTTAGACTTTTAGCCTCAGAGCTGAGTAAGGATAATATTCTGTTGTTTTAAGAATAATAATTTGTAGTATAAAATAACCCAGGAAGGTGTCCTCCACAAAAGCTCCCAGCATTTCCAAGATGACATGAATCAGACTGCCATACCAGTGGATGGGCCACTGATATCAAGGCTCCTTTTATTATGCATCAGTACACCACGGGTGGAGAAAAATCACAAAAGCATCTAGGGAGAAAATATTTGTTTGTAGAGATGACTGAGACAATTCCTAGTGGCCCACTGACCCTCTTATCATTTATACTGGGCCAAGATGTGATACATGGCACCAGAAAAATGACTAAAACAACCATAAAAATAGTACATCTAGCTCACACGGACAGAGTAGGAGCAAAGAGTAAAGACATTTCAGATATGCAGAGGCTTGGGAAATGTGTCTGCCCCTCCCAAACCCACCTTTTCTGGGAAGTTACTGGATGGTGAGCTTCAGCAAAATGGATGGATAATGGAACAATGAAGTTGTAGTTAGGGATAGAGTTCCAGGAAGGTCTTATGCGGGGGGGGGGGGGGGTGCCACACCCCACCCTCAAGCTCTATCTGGAGATGCCAGCCTCTATCCTCTCTGACTGCCAGCCACATTGTCCCACACACGTCCTGACAACTGTATTGGTGGTGGCGCCTTACTCTCTGTTTTCTGAACTAACCCCAGTGTCGAGCTTATTTATTTATTTATTTATTTATTTATTTATTTATTTTTGTGTGTGTTTGTTCACAAGTGTACTTGTAGAGACAAAACACATTTACATCACATGCCTTCCTCTATGGCTCTCTATCGCGGTTTAATAAGGATCAGGATAAACAATTAGGCTGAACAGATGTTTATTTAGGGAGAAATAACTCACAACATAGACAGGTGAACACCAACAGGTTCCTGCTTCCAAGAATTCCTCTGGATGTCCTCCAGCCACAGTGTAGTAGGCAAGAGAGAGCGCTCTCCCACGCCTCCTCCGACCTAGTTCCGCAGGTCACTTCCACCCCTGGCTCCACCCCCCAATGGGTGTGGTCAGTGCCACAGAAGGAGTGAATATCCCACTACAGCTTCCATCTTATTTATTTGGAAACAGAGTCTCTTAATGAACTTTGAACTTACTGATTAGCTAGACTGGCTAGTTAGCAAGTTCCCCCCCATCCAGCTATTTATTTACATCCCTGCCCCAATGCTGGAGTTGCAGATAGTTGGACAGGTCTATTCTCTAAGCCACTCTGTCACCATCAATCTTGGCCTGCTTTCATGGCTGGACTTAATGATTATTGTTGCTACCTCACAGAGGATGGCAACCAGTTGTATTCAATTCTGCCATTGCCCGTGGGGTCACAGAGAAGGGGTAGAATATATAGGTACGGAAGGATTAGGGGAGAGGTTCTATCTGCAGTCACAGGGAGTCATCATCCATGCTGGGTGCCAACCTTCCAGTATGGCTGTTTTGAGGGCATCTATGCTCCTGCCTATAACCCCTCACCCACAATAAACTCATTGATTCCCCAGCGTGAACTTCAGTGGAATTGTACCTTGCTTTATGTTGGGACTGTAGAAGGAGGGATGGATGTTGTTTGCATCTCTTCCATCAAGGAATTTTAGTAATACAGATACATACCTCTTCACTTGACTTTTATATTGGTGCTGGGGATTTGAATTTAGATTCTCAAGTTTTTACAACAAGCACTTTGCCCAGTAAACCATCTCCCCAGGTCCCAGGCTCTTTTTAAAACCAGTATTACCCTCCCCTGTGTGTGTGTGTGTGTGTGTGTGTGTGTGTGTGTGTGTGTGTGTGAAGGTCAGAGGACAACTTTCAGGACTCAGTTCTCTTCTTCCATCATGTGGATCCGGGAGATTGGACTCAGGTTGCCAGGCTTGGCAGCAAGCTGCTTTACCTTTTAAGAGAAGGTTGGGTTTTCCTGACACCCATCTGCTCCTGGGGCACTGGACTAAGTACTGTTAACATTTCTTTTTCTTTCTGTTGTTTTTGTGTTTTGAGACAGGGCTTCTTTGTGTAGCCCTGGAACTTGCTCTGCAGACCAGGCTGGCCTCAAAATCACAGAGATCCACCTGCTTCTGCCTCCGGAGGTGTGAGCCACCACCTCCGGCTTGGTGTTCATTTTCTGTAAGTGAGCAAAGTCATTGGGGTGCTAAGGCAACATGACCCCCTAATTAGCAGTTGTTGGACTTCCCTCTGTTGTTCAGGATGCCTTAATTAGCAGTTGTTGGACTTCCCTCTGTTATCCTGGATGCCTTGAGCAGGAGGGTTGCCCAACTGGGCTGCCCTTATGGCAGCACTGACTGTCCTGTCCGAATGCCCTGTTAGGACCTTGGGAAAACTACAAGGTCCCTGATTAAAACAGCTTGGGAGGCACAGCCTCAGGGCTTTTTGAAACCACAAGCCTAGATAAACTCTAGGTGACCTTGCAACCATTTTCACCAACTAGAGAAGGGAAATCTGTCCCCTGGTGGCCTAGCAGAGGAACTGCTGAGGCTGGTGCAAAGGCTTTGAGAGCAGCTGCTTTGGGAAAGACTATCCTCTGCTGCCTCCCTTTCTAGCTTTATGTTCAGTAAAAGTCTTCTCTGGAGACTTTGCTCACCTACTGTCAGCAATGTGGGCTGAACCGGTAACCCAAAGAAAGAAGCAGAAGAGAGCAATAGCAGTGACGACTGGGCAGGGGGCAGGTCAAGCTGCAAAAGGGACCACAGCAGCTCTGTGATAGCCAAAGAGGCAGGTGTCAAGAGAGGCCAGAGGACTGACACTGAATAAGGATAAATGACTAAACCTGAGAAGAGAAGCTGCAGCCCTGGACGCCAGAAGAGTTCCAAAGAGCCAAGGGGTCTCAAACTCAGGCCAAGGATTGTAACACTGCCGTCATCAAGAGTAAAGGCCTATATTTAAAAACAAACAAACAAACAAAAAGGTAAAGCTGCAGGGGGCTGAAGAGTCCCTGCAATAAAAGCCCATGTCTGCCTGATGGTGGTGCAGCCACAGGAAAGGGCCCACGAATCCTACACAAGAGCTAGAATACTCTTAGCTTTAAGGCACACAATGCCTCCAGGCCCCTCAGCCAGTTGCTGCCCCTCCCTGAGGTCAAACATGGAGGGAAATGAAAGGTAGCACATGAAGAGTTTATCTTTGACTACCCACAGTTCTTTTTATCTGTGTAGAGCAAATAGATCCTGGCCAGCTGATTAGCAACACTTCCATGGGTGCTGGGAACTGAACTTGGTACCTCTGCAAGAGGAGCAAGTACTTTTAAGCTCTGAGATATCACCTAAGTCCCCAATATGCGCTCTTTTCTCTTTCTTTTTTCTTCTTTTTGTTTTCCGGGACACCGGTTCTCTATATAACAGTCCTGGCTGTCCTGGAACTCACTCTGTAGACCAGGCTGGCCTCGAACTCAGAGATCCTCATGTCCTCCCGCCTCCCCCCGCCCTCCCCCCCCCCCCCCCGCGCCTCTACCGGGATTAAAGGCGTGCGCCACCACTGCTCTCTGCCAGTATGCCCTCTTCACTGCTGAGTCCCGAATGGGTACTTAGTTCTCCATTTCCTCCTGTAAATTTGCCTGATGTTGTTGAGCGAATACATATCGCCCGGATTTCCACCCACACTCGGTTCTGCTGAAGTGTGGCTAACTCAGCATATCTTTCGGATCAGGGTGGTAAAACAACGTTCTGCCATGATGGAATGTTTCCAGGCTGCAGCCAGGGCCGCCGGAAGGCTACTCAATCAGTGATGTTTCATTTAAGTTAGTTTGCAAGCGGTTTGTGGGTTCGCTTTAAACAATGCAGCCTTGTGTGCCCACCGCATGCATGCTGATCACAACTTGTCTCGTTCACCTGACAGCCCAAATTGAAGGTTAGTGTCGTCCTCAGGAAGCCCACCCAGCTCTAGGGCGGAAAGTCCCCGGACTCAAGCGAGGGAAGTAGGGCAGGGTGCTGCGGAGGGCCGCACCAGAGTTAGGGAAAACTGCAGCTACGGAGGAGGGAAGGGGTGGACACACATACTCAGGCTTTGCCTTTCCCAGCCGCATAGGCCACGCCTCGTTTACCTCTTGCGCAGGCGCAGATACTGCGGCCACCAGCGCGCCGGCGCTACCCGGATTCATACCGAGCTTCTCGTAGGCATCATATCCAGAAACTCTAAATATCCTTCCCACTTCCACGTGAGGTCTGGGACTCGAACTCACAACCGTCCTAGGCTGCCACTGAACGGGGCTCGTGGTCCTGGTGCCGTGGCGAATCAGCGGCCAGCGGGAGGGAGCACGCGGCCTTGGCTCTGAAGCATGGGGGCCGGCGGAACCCTGTAGGAGTGGTTGGTCCGGTTGGGTCTGCAGTGGTGACGGCCTTGCAGATTGGCCGGCTTCCATGCTAGCCCAGGGCCTCGTGTTTAGGGGGCTGGGTGCTCACCTGGAACTGCAGACGCTGGGATTGCAGTTACTGCAGGCTGGCAAGACACTCATTCACCCAAGAACTAGCGAGCTTGGCAAAGGAGACAGCCCCCAGGGCATAGGTCCTGACCCACCTAATGGGTACAGTCCAGGACTGAACCCCTGTCAGACCACCCGGCAGGGACAGAGTGAGATCTTGTGAGGCGCCAGGGAGTGGGAATAAAGGGCTGCTGGGGTTTCTGAGATTTAGAGCCTACCCTCCTCTCTCAGCCTATGTCCTTCCTGAGTGCCACAGGAACAATTCTTGACTCTTAACCTGCTTTTCTGGGCCCCTCAGCTCTGTCCTGCAAGATGGACCCAGCACTGCCTGCTGTCCGACTCACGGTCCAAGAAGCCATTCACACCCTTTCATCCTCAGAGGATGTAGGCCACATCCTCTCTGCCTTGGGGACCCTGAAGAGATACCTGGGTGGAACCGAGGATCCAGCTCTCCCTGAGAAGGAGGAGTTTACCACCATCCACTTCTCAGCCGTTCTCAGATGTCTGGTCAGCAAGCTGAGCCCAGGTTGGCTGGAGCTATCCCCCGATGGTCAGCTGGAACAGCTGTGGGAGAGCTTCTTCCTCGATGGCCCTCCAGACCAAGCCTTCCTGGTGCTGATGGAGGCCATTGAGAGCACTGCTGGGTGAGCAGCTTAGGAGCAACAGGACGCCTAAGTTCTGAGAAGGAACCTAACACTCCAGAACTGAGTGTAGCTGTGCCCAGTTCTGAAAGGGAAAGGACCCCTGCATCTTAGTTTGGCCTCCCTCTTGTTGAAGGCTGGAAGAGCAGGGTTCACAATGCAGATAGCAGGAGCAAGCCAGTAACTCAGAGAGTTTGCACCACCCCCAGCCCACATCAGAAAGGTAGGGTGTCACTTGCTGTCCTCTTCTGGACCTTCCCTTAATTCTATGGCACCTTCAGCACCATCTCAGAACATTTCAGGTTTTTACGTATTCTCTGTGTAGCACTGGCTATCATGGAGCTCTGTAGATCAGGCTGGCCTTGACCTCACAGAGATCCACTTGCTTCTGCCTCCTAAGTGCTGGTTTCAAAGATGTGTACTACCACCACTCAGTAGATGTAGGTTTTTAAATGTCTTGCTGCCGTGGACCCTAGTCCCAGGTTCTATATCCAATCAAGTGGCAATCCTTGGGAGGATGCAGTGGCTTTGAGAAGCTGGGTTTTTAGAAATTGTTGTGGGGGCTGGAGAGATGGCTCAGAGGTTAAGAGTACTGGTTGTTTTTCCAGAGAACTTGGGTTAGTCCCTAGCACCCACATGGCAGCTCACAACTGTCTGTAACTTCAGTTGCAGGGGATCTGAAGACCTTTTCCCCATGTGGTACACAGACATACCTGTAGGCAAAACACTCCCACATACACACGAAATAAAATCTCAAAGCTTTAAATTAAATAAAAGAAAGAAAGAAAGGAACTATTGTGATCTAAGCCAGCACAGTGCGGAGTAGAGGAAGAAATGGTGGTGTCTGCCTGTTCAAACAGGGGATAGCCTGCTAGTAACTGGCTATTCAGCAGTGGAATTAAGTGTTTTGTTCAGCTAATGAGTTCAAATGTAAATGCTCATGAAGTTGTTGGGACTGGTTTTTTTTTTTTTTTTTTTTCTTTTTCCTTTTTGAGAACAGGTCTGTCCTGGAACTTTTAGGCCAGACTCACCTTGAACTCATAGAGATTCTCCTCCTACTGCCTCTACCACACTCAGCCTCTTTTTTTGGAGATAGGTGTCTCATCTGCTGGGAGCTTGCCAATTAGGCTAAGCTGTCTGGCCAGGGAGTCCTAGGAATCCACCTCTGTCTGTATCCCCAGGGCGGGGACTCCAAGCACTTACCACCTCACCTTTTTTTTTTTTTTTTCTTCTTTTGGGTGGTAGGGGAGGTGGGGTTGAGACAGGGTATCACTTTGTAGTAGTTCTGACTGTCCCTTGAACTTACTGTGTAGACCAGGTTGGCTTTTAACTCACAGAGATCTTCTTGCTTCTGCTTCTTGTATGCTGGGATTAAAGGCATGTGCCATTGTGCTTGCCTCAGTTGGCTTTCTTATGTAGGTTTTGGGGATCAAACCTAGGATCTCATGCTTGTAAGACTATCTTTCTAGCTCTGGGACTGATTCTTTATGGCCAGAAGGGGACACTAAGACAGAGAGCGCTGAGGGCTCTACCTAATACACTTGCTATTCTTTAGCCCTAGCTTCCGTCTGATGAAGATGGCTCGGCTGCTGGAGATATTTCTGAGCAAGGGCAGAGTGGCTGCTCTAATGGAGGAGCAGTGTCGGCCTCAGACAAAGCCCAGCTTCCCCCTATTCCAGGAGACGCTGCTCAACAAGGTGGTGGGCTTGCCTGATCGCCTAGGCAACTGTCTCCAGCAGGACAACCTGACCCAGTTCTTCCCCCAGAACTACTTCCCTCTGCTTGGCCAGGAGGTTGTGGAAGTACTAAAGGCAGTTGTGAACTTTCTCCAAGGTGAGCATAAGAGTCAGGGTGGGGCTGTCAGAGGTAGGTTAGATGCTATTCGGGGTCAGACAATATCACATTACCTGATGGAATTTCATCTCTCTTGGCTTTTGAGCTTGGGAAGTTGGGTCTGACCCTAGTTCTTAGTTGGCAGTTAGGCAAAGCCACCAGATTGAGACCTGCTTTTCCTACCCAGCCACTTGTACATCCTAAAAGTCGTCTTGTTTGCTAAGGTCCACCTCCTGCTTACTTGAGTCTGCTTGTCTCTGTCTTTGGTGGTGACACTGTGTATTGACTGTTCTTGGGTCTGAGGGCAGATGCTTTTCGTATGTGTTGTCTGGCACTATGGGAACTACCTGTCACTCAGACATCTCTATTGACCACCTGTGGTTGTCCAAGGTTAGCTCTGTCTCCTTTTTTTCTTTCTTTTTTTTTTTTTTTTTTTTTTTTTTGGTTTTTTGAGGCAGGTTTTCTTCTGTGTATTGCTTTGGAGCCTGTCCTGGAACTTGCTCTATAGACCAAGCTGGCCTCCAACTCACAGACATCTGCCTGCCTCTGCCTCCCGAGTGCTGGGATTAAAGGTTTCTATGGGACATGATAATTGGCTTTCCCAGGTATACAACTCAAGAATGAGTATGGGGGACGAGCCATTGTGATCCCTGAGTGAGTGAGCTATCAGGTACTGGGCAGTGACTGATGGCTTGAGCCTTTGTCTCTTCCTGAAGTATTCCCCTTCCTTCTTGTGTCTGCCAGGTGCACACTCCAGCATACCTCGGCTTATCTGGAGCTACTCCAGCTGCCTTCTTTCAGCCTGTTCCTAGCTGAGTTTCTACTTTGGCTTGCTTCCATGGACTCAGCCCAGCATCCTGAGGGCTCCTGTGTCCATTACCCTTGTGATCCCCAGAGGAAGCTGGTCCTCTCGAGCTTTGGCCTGGCCCCCACCTAGCCCAAGCCACTGTCCTCCTAGATTCTTCCAGCAACCCCTTTCTGGTCTGTTTTGTTTTGTCTTGTTTTTTGAGACAGGGTCTCACTCTATTCTTAGTAGTGCTTTGGATTCTGTCCTTGCAGGCGCTTAAGTATCTGTCCTTAGGTCACCATATGTCTGACTCCATGCCTGTTTCTGGAAGGTGCCATCATCTCAACTCTACTGTGGGAGGCTGCCACCCCATCTCCTCCTTGTTCTTGACCTTCTTGTGGCTCCATCAAGGAGGGAGAGCTTATGGGCAGTGGTTGTTGCCATGTCTATAGTCTGCCCAGAGCCCAGTTATGCTTCTGTAGTTGGCTAAGCCAGGACCCCTCTGGTGCCTCTTCAGTGATGTAGGTAGGGTTATTTTAATGGTTGTGTGTGAGATGATGTGTGTGACACTTTCAAAAACTTATTATTACTAGATTTTCAAGTTAAAAACAGCTCCATTTAGGTTTTTCCTCATGTTAGATATGCACATTTTCTCCATACAGCTGGAGTTTCTATGACTGACCTGGCTGCTAAGCACAAGGTCTCTATCCTTAGTCAGATGTCTGTAATGTTTTTCCTGATGACCTTTCTTGCAGTCAGGTCTTGCTTTTCATTCCAGGTGGCCTAGACTGCTCTGTTTCCTTCGTGTCTCGCGTCTTGGGGAAGGTCTGCATCCAGGGGAGAAAGAGTGAGTAGTCCCTGATACCGTCCCCACCCTTGGAGGAGGGTGAGAATCATGCACAGGATGTACATGTTATGTACATCCCATACAGTACATGTAAGTTGACCCTTGCCCATGCTTGTGAGCCTGAGGGGGCTGTGGGCACTGGGTACCCCTGTTGCCCCCTGGCTGAGGTGGCTCCTGAAGCTTAGAACCTTTGTGTCCCCTCAGAAGAAATCCTGGGTGTGCTGGTGCCCCAACTGACAGTGCTCACCCAGGACAGCTGTCTGTGGCAGCGGGTATGCTGGCGTCTGGTGGAACAAGTACCTGACCGAGCAGTAGAGGCTGTGCTGATAGGGCTTGTAGAGGCCACTCCCAGGTAAGCAGTCAGGTCCTCTCCCAGCCATTGTTTCTCAGGGTGGCAGGGTAGACTCTACCATTGCTGCCATTCCCCATGCTGCTGTCCTGGGTGCCATACTAGAGCCCATATCTTGTACAGCTTGGGTGGCCCATCCTCTCCTAGAATTGCATTTCCAGGCTGGCCATTGGTTTCCAGGATGGCCATTGGTTGTGAGCCTAACGCCCATCCTGTGCCTGTCATACTTTTCACTGTGGTCTCATTGCTCATTCATTGATCTGTTTCTTCCTTGTTGTGGGGACTCTCTGATCCCTGTGAGCGCTTACTGAACTGTGTTGGCTTTGTCTCTGACAGATTCCAGTTCACTCTCTTATGTTTATTCATCTTTGGTATGTAGTGGTGAATCTTTGGGTCTTGTTGCTGGAAGCAGGCCTGTTGGGCTGGCTGAATGCTCTGAGTGCATTGCTAGCTCACCAGGTTCCCAGTGTCTGCCTCTGTACAAGGCATCACTCGATGTTGACTTTGCATTCTTTGGTTGTAGGTACGGGTGTGAATTTTTTATTGATGCCCCTTGCTTGTTCATGGTGTGTTCCCAGTGTGTTTGTAATAGTTTTCCCCATAAGTTCTGGGCATACACCTTTAATCCCAGTACTCAAGAGGCAGAGGCAAGGTCTATAGGATCTAGTTCCAGGACAGCTAGGGCCACCCAGAGGAAAACAAGTTCTGGGAGTTCTGGGCTCTATCCTCTGAGGTCCACTGGGCTCTCAGCAGAGCCCCACCACCTAGAGTCCTGTGGGTTTCTTGTTTTGTTCTTGATCTGGGATTACAGGCATGCACCATGAATTCCAGGTTCACTTTAGGTTTTGAATCTTGTCAGGTGGACTGACTGTCCCCTGAATACCTGTTCCCTGTGCTGAAGCCATACGTCAGGTTACATAGGTTTGCTTTCTCAAATTTTCAGGGGTCCTCTCCCCCTCCTGCTTTCCAAGCCTTTATGTGTCTTTAAATTTTTTAAAAAATAAGCATTTTTATGTGTGTGCATGCTAATGTATGCATATGCAGATATGTGTACACGTGCATGTGAAAACAGGGGCCAATCCTCAGGTATTGATCCTCAAGAGTTGTCTACCTTATTTTTGACAGTCTCTCACTGAACCTGGGCTCATTGATTAGGTTGGCTGGCTAGCAAGCCCCAGGGATCCTTTCTGGTTCTTCAGATACAAATGTGTGCCACCATGCCTAGCTTTTTCTAGTGGTTCTGGGGATCAAACTCAAGTCCTTATGCTGTCCAGCAGGCACCTTACCTATGGAACAATATTCACAGCTGTAGCCTGTATGACTTCGTGTGGAGTTGTTTTTCTTTCTTTAAAACAGAATCTTGCTCTGTAGTCCTGGCTGGCCTGAACTTACTATGTAGTTCTGGCTGGCCAGAATTAAGTCAGAGATCTGCCTACTTCTGCCTAACAAGTTCTGGGATAGAAAGTGTGTGCTACCATGCTGACCTTTGTGTGGGATTAGATGTAACCGTCAGGACTGGTGAGATGGCTCAGCAGGTAAAGTCACTTGCTATCAAGGCTGATGTGGTGGAAGGAGAGAATCGGTTCCTCCAAATTATTCTCTTGACCTCCATGGTATGCGTGATATGACATGCACATCACACAGACACATAGACACATACACACATCCACACACAGACATACAAATGCACACATTCACATAGACATTCACTCACACACATGCACACACACACACACACAGACATGCACACACTGAGACATATGCAGACACATGCATACATACACACACATAAATACATGTAATAAAAAGAAATAATGAGTGAGGAGGAAACCCAGCTGTATCTCCATCTGTGTGGCTGAGGCAGCTGGCCACAGCCTTACTTTCTGAAGGAAGTAGTCTAGCTTGGGCTTATGCAAATTGTTGTTTTGAGCTAAATCAGGCTGGTGGTCTTTTTATAAATAAAGTTTTATTGGCATGCCCATTCGTTCATACATTTGTCTAGGGCTGTTTTTAGCTACTACCAGAGTTGAGTGGCTGCTTTGGATAGTGAGTCTGTCTAAGGGTGTACTTTCTGGCCCTTAATAGCAAAGGTGTGATGCCCTGTTGTAGAGACACATTCATCTTTGGCCTTGGCAGAACAGGGAAGGACCCCCATCTTGGGTTGGTCCTCTCAGTTTTGATGTGGGGCCCAGGCTTTCATTGGGTATTCACATTCATTCTGGAAAGATGGAAGATTAAGGACCAACTCAGGCCATGAAAGGGCTTGGCCAAACTCAGAGTGAGCAGGTGGCAGGACACAGGGCACCATACTGTTTGTTTTTCCTTGTTCCTTCCTTTTGAGGGCAATTTGTGATTCAGGCTCCTTCTACACCTGCCTCACAGGCCTGAAGTCCTGTCACGACTACTAGGGAACCTGGTGGTGAAGAATAAGAAAGCTCAGTTTGTGATGGCCCGGAAGCTTCTTTTCCTGCAGTACCAACACTCGGTGAGAATGCCAGGACACGGTGGGGCCTGCAGGCTTTCCAAGTCACAGGAAAAATTGTTATAAAAAAATGGAGTAAGAGAGCCCGGTGGTGGTGGCGGCGCATGCTTTTAATCCCAGTCCAGCCTGGTCTACAAGAGCTAGTTCCAGTACAGGCTCCAAAGCCACAGAGAACCCCCCCCCCAAAAAAAAAAATGGAGTAAGGGGAACTGGGTTGGCACACTCCTTTAATCTTAGCATTCTAGAGATAGAGGCAGTTGAATCTCTTGAGTTCAAGGCCAGCCTGGCCTAAATAGTGAGATCCTGGCTCAAAAAAAAAAAAAAAAAAAAAAAAAAAAAAAAAAAAAAGTGAAGGGCTAGGCATAGTGTGGCATACTTCTTTTGTTATTTTAGTATTTGGGAGGTAGAGACAGGAGCATTATGAGGCCATTGCCATCTCCAGCTTTGCAGCAAGTTTGAGGCCAGCTTGACCGTGTCTCAGTGACTCTAAAAAAGAAGAAAAAGAAGAGAGATTGTATGCTCATTATGCAAGGTGCTGTAGTCTAGCCTCAATACCATAGGGGAAAATCAAAACAAGAACAGTTACACAACAGGTGCCTAGGAGAGATCAGCAAAGTGGTAGGCCCCTCTGCAGCACCCTGGGCTCCAAGTGAGTATGTCACATGTCTCTGGATCCTCGTACTACCCAGGAAGGTACCCTCACCAACTCCATTCTATGCCTGAGGGGTTGATGCATCAGGACTCCAGAGGCTGAGTGCCTCAGACATGACTGCCACTGTCCTTGTGCTTTGGGGCTCTGGCTCAGAGCTGGCTAGTAGGTCAAAACAGTGGAGAATGAGGAACAGGACACAGCCAGAGTTAAGTGGACAGCAGCATTGGGCAGGGAAGAGTGCAGTCCATTGTTTCTTCCTGCTCACATTTTCATCCATAGTGTTTCTTTGAAATTGGGCTCTGTCTTGGGTACTGAGCATCCTCATTATCATAAATTCATGTTACAGGAAAGGAAGCAGATGTTGCCCATGTAGGTGTTGGCTAGTTAGTACATAGGGTGATGTGGTAGGTGCTGGCAGCAAGGAGCAGGTAGGGCAGGAGGATGGCTTGGAGAAGGAGGTATGGCTCTGAGGATTTGTCTTGGTGGGCCAGAGTCCTCTGAGAACTGGAATACCAGGGAGCTAGCTGATTGGCTGTGCAGAAAGCCTGAGCTGGTAGGGGATCCCCCGGGTGCCCAGAGAGCAAGAGGACAGTAGGTAAGGCCAGGCTGGTTGGGTGGGTAAGTGGGGACTGAGCAGAGATGATCCGGTTGGACTTTCTGGCTCCTGTGCCAAGGACCAAGGTGTGAACTGAGGTGCCTTCCACTTGCTACATGTAGTGGCACTCAGGCAGGAACCCTGGAGAGTCATCCCAGTAACATGAGTTGGCAGCTGGGTACACTTGAAGGGATGGAGCCACTTTAACATTTAAGCCATCCTCCAAGAGGGCAGGTGGGCAGTGGGGTTCTAGGTAAACAGAGGCAGGATTGTCCCCACAGATCTCTGATGAAAGAGCATACAGGCTGTCTATTCCTGGACCCATTGCTCAGTTTTAAGCCATCAGATCATAAGGCAGTCAGTGGGATGATGCCACAAACTAAGAGCTGCAAGTGCCAGAGTACATTTCATGCAGTCATCCCTGTACCACAAGCCCGTGGTCTTGAAGTAGCTGTGAAAGGAAGTAACTAATGGGGCTCAGGAGGCAGCTTAGTTCACACAGTTCTTTTGGTTTTTCTTTTCTTTTTTTTCTGAAACATGAGTGGAGGATAGATATGGTAGCTCATGCCTCTTATTCTAGCATGAAAGCTGCAGTGGCAGGATTGCCATGTGTGTAAAGCCTGCATGGCCTACATAGTAAGACCTTAAAAATTGGAGGGGCGATGGTGGGTATGCCTTTGATCCCAGTACTTGGGAGGCCGGGGCAGGCAGATCTCTGTGAGTTTGAGGCTATCCTAGGCTACAGAGTGAGTGCCAGGACAGCCTTCAAAACTACACAGAGAAACCCTGTTTCAAAAAGGAAAAAAAGGGGGGTGCTGGAGAGATGGCTCAGTGGTTAGGCGTACACTGTTCTTGTGGAGGACCCTGGCCTAGTTCCCAGTACTCACATGGGGAAGCTTACAAATGCTTGGACCTCTAGCTCCGTGGGACCTGACACTCTTGTGGGCTCCGTGGGACATGCACATATGCACGCATGCATAAGAAAGAAATAACAAGGTAGACTATGGGTTCAGAAGCCTTTCCAAAGGAAGAACCCCAGAGAGTTATAGTGGGGAGCCCAGCAGGTTCTTATATGTCTGGACCGAGAAACCCAGTATCAAAGGCATCCTCTACCACAAGAACCAGTAAGTGTGAAATTTGACAAATAACTCATTGAGTTCTCAAAGTTTATTTGAAATGGAAAGTAGAAAAATTATCAGCTGAAACAGTTGCTGAGGTGGGAACCTGGGGAGGGAACCTGCATCTCTGGTTTTGTGGGAGGTTGGAGGTTGGCAGTCCCATTCCTTCCCATTCCTCTCCTTGGACTCCCAAAGGCCCTTGTAGGGGACAGGCAGGGGCCAGTCCCTGCCTGGTAGAAAGGACCCGCTTTTGTTGTAGACACCCATGCTTCAGAGCCTGCTGGGGTACCTGGCTGTAGACAGTCAGCGGCGGCCACTCCTCGTACAGGTAAGCCCCACTTGACCCTCTAAGGCTGTGGTGGTCCAGGCAGGAGGGGCAGTAGAGGGACTGTCTTCTGATGAGAAGGACAGGGGTCCAGTTTCACTTATGCTTGAGCCCCTTGGGAGCGCTATGGGCTCTGCTGTTTGCCAGGTGCTTAAGGAGCTGCTGGAGACGTGGGGCAACAGCAGTGCCGTCCGTCATGCACCACTGGAGCAGCAGTGCTATGTCAGCAAGGCCATCCTTGTCTGCCTGGCACACCTTGGGGAGCTGGAGCTGCAGGACATCCAGGATGGTAAGCAGGCTGTGGCGTGGGTACACCCTGCCCCCTAACACTTTATGGAGCCCTTTAGGACTCATGTCTGGTGCTTTAAGAACTGCTGGCCAGCATGATGGCAGGTGTGAAGTGTCGCCTCGACAGCAGCCTGCCCCCTGTGCGTCGCTTGGGCATGATTGTGGCCGAGGTCATCAGCTCCAGGATCCATCCTGAGGGGCCTCCCCTGAAATTCCAAGTGAGCAGGCTATCTTCTCTATGCCCTCCAGGTGACAGGGCTCTGGGTCTCCCTTGCTGTAATACCTGCACTTCTAGTACCTCAGTTTTGTGGGGTCTAGGATTGAGGAGCATCCTGTGGTAGGCATGTGGAGGGCCAGGCTCAATGTGTGTGGCAGTTCTAACTTACGGCAGCTCCTGTGGGTGGTAGCTGGAGTGGGTCTGTGTGTGGTCAGGGCCAAGTCTGTGATCATATACTCTTCCGGATATGCTCTCTGGCTTGGTTAGACAGGAGTGAAGGAACCATTGCCTTAGAGTTGGCCTGCTGGACCTGGGTGCTCTTTGGATAGTAGAGCTGATCTGGGCTGGCAGCGCATAGGGCGTGTCACTTTCTCCTGACCACTGATTGGCATGGGCACTACCAGGTTGGACAGTGTGGGCCTTGACTGTGTTGGGCTCTACATGGTTTAACTGCGAGCTTATAGATGTAGTTTCTCCAACATCTACAGCAGAGGCAGGTGTGACGTTCACCTCAACAGCATACCCTGTCCTTGGGCATGTCAGCAGTCAAGGGTCTTCAAATCCTAAAGGAGGAAGAAGCTTCTAGGCTCAGCACACCTAGCAGCATGCTTAGCTTGAGGTGGGCATTTAGCAGTTGCTTTAGAAAAGACGACTGGCTATCTGAGGCCAGACTGCTCAGTGACGTGGAGCAGTATGTGAGGAGGGCTGGCTTTGGCTGACTGTCCATGGTGAGGTGGCTTCTGCAGCCTGTGGGCATCACTCACTCCATCATATCTGCAATAGTACGAAGAAGATGAGATGAGTCGTGAGATGCTGGCCTTGGCCACCCCTGGGCCTGCGGGTGCCTGCTCTTCGGAGACAGGGTGAGGATCTCCACATTCCTGGTCTCCATCGTGGGTCCTTCTGACAGAAGTTAGGGGAGACATGGGCAGATAATAGAAGCCCTTCTGGGATATGTGGTGCGCAAGTCTAACCTGGGTAACTCTTGTTTGCTTTCTAGAGTCCCATCCCTGGCTTCGGTTGCCACAGAGGCTCCTGTAGAGACACCTGAAAAGACAGTGGACAGTGATGTTCCCCCAGTTCAGCAGCAAGGCCCTGACTCAGAGCTGGACAGGTAGGGCAGCGTTCCTTGGCCTCTGTGGGTTCAAAGATTGGCTGAGGGTAGCCATCTCCCATGGGTGTCAGGCTCTTGGGAGTAAAAAATAAAAGGGAATCTAAATCTTCACTGAGGATGAACAGATCCCGTTTCTCTTTTTCTTACTATAGTGATGATGAGTTCATCCCCTATGATATGTCAGGGGACAAAGAGCTGAAGAGCAGCAAGGAGCCCCTGTATATCCGAGACTGCGTGGAAGGTGGGCTTTGCTGGGGTCAAATCACTGTGCTTATTTCGCAGTAGCTTGTTTTGAGATGCCTGGACCTGGCCCCACTTCTCCTTGTCCTACAGCTACCATTAGGTTTCATTTTGACACTGTGGGCACACTCGAGTCAGGGTCAGTGCTAAGACTTAACCAAGCCCTATCTGGGTTCTGTGCAGCCTTGGCCACATCTGAGGACATGGAACGCTGGGAGGCAGCCCTAAAGGTGCTGGAGGGCCTGGTTTATAGGAGCCCTGAGGCCACTCGGGAGGTGAGCAGTAAGAGGATGTGTCGGGGTAAGCGGGGTACGGGGTGTGGGAATAGAGGACAGGGACTAGGGGAAGGGAGTGGATGGCAGGTCTCTTTGTGGCATCTGTTCCTAGATCTTAGAGGGTAGCACTGGATTGCTAATTGGGCATATGGAGCTAAAGGCATCCTGACTCCTGGCCCTGTGCAGGTGAGTGTGGAGCTGGCCAAGGTGCTACTGCATCTGGAAGAGAAGACCTGCATGGCAGAGTTTGAACAACTTCGCCAGAGAGCTCTAGTTGCTGTCACGGTCACAGACCCGGAGCAAGTAAGTCTTAGCTCGACCTGGTGGTTCCATTCTGTGCACAGATTGGGCCCTTGTGTAATCTTGGAGCCTTAGCACAGAGGCTTCTTCTTTGCCTACTTAGGTAGCCAAGTATCTGACAACACAGTTCTATGGCCTGAACTATAGCCTCCGGCAGCGCATGGACATCCTGGATGTAAGTGACCTAGACCTGTGTTCCTGTCAGACCCAAGCTGCCCTAAGTTAGGAAGTTGACCTATATGGACTGTGGACAAAGGTCACCCCAAGCTTCCTTGGTGGGGATGCAAGAGGCTGATGTACTCTGTCAGCTGATTATAGGCTCACCAGTATGGTGCTGAGAGCTGGTGGCAGAGTATTTTCTTTTGTTTGTGTGGCTTTAAAATTGTTTTTATTTATTTGTGTGTGTGTGTCTGTCTGGGTATTCTTACCTTCTGAGTCATCTTGTTGGCCCTGTTTGTTTTGTCTTTGTATTCATGTGCAGATGTGTGTGTCTGAGTATGTATACTGTGCACAGTGCCTGTGAAGGACAGGAGAGGGTGTTGAGCTCCTTGGAGTTGGAGTTACAGGTGGCTGAGAGCCATCCAGCTCTGGCTGGGAACTGAAATCTAGTCCTCTACAAGAGCATTAGGCACTCTTGACCACTCTTACCAGCCTTGTTTGTGTATTTTGGACAGCAATTATATTGGTATGTTTTTATACAACATGAAATTTATCATTATAGGAGAAACCAAATGTATCTCCCTGTGTGACCCAGCTGTAAACTTCAGAAGTTCTGATACCTTTTACGGCACAGACAGCCCTTAAAATCTTGTATAAAAGCAAAGTACTGCATGTGGCATGGCTGTGGGGTAGTAAACTATCCAGACAGTGCATTCATAGAGATAGGGCTGAGGGGTGATCACCAGGGTCCCAGAGACGGGTGTTTAACGTGGACAGTTTTCTTTTAGGAGATGGAAAGCTCTGAAGCTGAATGGTAGTGAGAGTAGCCAGCAGTGATCCAGTGCTCAGTGTACCGAACTCAGGGCTCTCTCTGTGTAGCTCTGGCTGTTCTGGAACTCCCTATGTAGATCAGGCTGACTTTAAACTCAGAGATCCTCCTACCTCTGCTCCTGAGTACTGGGATTAAACGTGTGTGCCATAACACCTGGCTGCTACTGAACTCTTACAAGTGGGTGTCGTGAAGGTTGAGCAGATGGCTCAGTCCATAAAGAACTTGCTGAAAAAAGCTTTGAGGCCCTGAGTTTAGAAACCCAGCACTCATAAAATCCTGCATTTGATGGCATGTCCTGTAATCCCAGGACTAGGGTGCCAGAGAAAGTAGGACCCCTGTAGTTTGATGGCCAGCAGCTGAGTTGGTAAGTTCCAGATTCATTGAGGGACTCTGTTGGGAACTAAGCTTTAGTCCTCCTCAGCAAGGGCAGTTAGTGCTCCAAACCTCTCTGCCATCTCTCCAGTCCCTGTGTACTGGGTCTTTTCTCTCCTCTAGGTCCTTGTTCTGGCTGCCCAGGCACTGTCTCGGCCACGGAGCCTCCAGAGACTTTCCCAGCACGGTCCCCCTGGTTCTGGCACCTTGTGTGCACCAGCACTAGCTATTTCTCAGCCTGGCAATGCTGTGGCTCCTGACTGGCAGATGGTTGTGGAAGAGCGGATCAAAAGCAAGACCCGGAGGTTCTCCAAGGTCAGCAGGACTCAGTTCAGGGCCTTGTAGACATGGGGCTTTTATGGGGCTTTCGTGGGTGGGAGGATGAGCAGTTGGATTCCTCTAGGTGTTGTCTGACTGAAGGCCAGTCACAGGCAGGGTCAGTGCCAGTGTTGGGGCTCCTTTGAGTGAGTGTAAGTATAAATGGGGGCATGCCAGAGCAGCATGATTTTAAAACATGGAAGTGAAAGGATCTCAGAGTGTCACTCAGAAATAAAAATGACCCTGGGTCTATGGTGATGTCTGGAGATAGTTGAGTTGCAGCTCGGGGCTGGAGACCAGTTTATTTAACTTTCCACAATGCCTAGGTCTTCCTGTGATGTGGACTATAGCTCTGAATTGTTGATGTGCAGGGTTGGGAACGCTGCTGTCAGACCACAGTAGCCTGAGTCAGACTCTGTCCTTTCCACAGGGCCCTGAAACCCAGAGAGGCCAGGGCAAGCCTAAGATGGCTACACCGAGGGGCGGGTAGCCTTGCACGTGACTAATGCTGTGTGTTTGGTAGGGCTGTCCTCGGAGGGAGCTGTCAGGTGGCCCCAATGAATTCAACTCTGTGGCTGGTTACTTCTTCTTCCCCCTCCTTCAGCACTTTGACAGGTGAGGTTTCTGGAACTTTAGACACACCCCACGTGGACAGTGGTTGTGACATGACAGGGTATAAATGTGGGCTTGGGTTCTTTTATAAGCCTGAGTTAAAGGTATGGGATATTCTGGAAGGTCCCTTTGCTATTGAGTTTTGGTGAGGGCATAGTCATCCTTTGACTCTCTTCTTTGATCCTGGATTTATGAAGGTGCTGGTGCTGCTGCTGCTGCCAGTGCTACCTGGCTGCTGAACCTGTGAAATTTTGGTGACAGCATAGGGTGTGATCTTGACTCAGGGCCTGGTTTGTGCTTGGCAGCATAAAGTATGCTGTGGTCTTTGGAAATGCCTTCACCTTGTGGCTGTCCTTTGCTATACTGGCCCAGGGTGTGAAGGTGGGAGGAAGGCTATGTGAGCCTTCAGGGGTTTGGGTTTCTGTCAGGAGCCCTCTTTCTGGGCTCTTAGCCAACCATTAAGTGTTGGGGCTACCTCATCCACTCAGCTTTATATTGTAGGCCTCTGGTGACCTTCGACCTTTTAGGAGATGATCAGTTGGTACTTGGAAGACTGGCCCACACCTTAGCATCTCTGATGTACCTGGCTGTTAACACCACAGTGAGTTGGGAAATGGTAACTGAAAGCCCTACCACACAGCTTTACAGCAGTGCAGTTGCAGAAATAATTACCAGTGTTCACAGGACAGACCTGAGCTCTGTGTGGCTTGTTCATTTCCCATCTGCGAGCAGTGCAGGATGGTCAAGGTCATAGGCATGGGCACTGCATCCTCAGAACATATCCTCCCCGCCCTTTGGCCCTAAGGGCAGGTCTGTGCAAAGCTCCACAAGGCATTACATGCATCCCCTCATCAGAGGCGAACAGTGGGATCCTCCCTTTGGAGCAAGTGTGGGAAATACACAGCAAATCCCCTCACTAGCTGTCCCTCTGCTGACTTCCAGGTGGCTGTGCCTATGGGAAAGGCCCTGCTGGAGTTTGTATGGGCCCTTCGCTTCCATGTTGACACGTGAGTGGCCCATGGGGTTCAGGGAAGCACAGGGTCTCCTAGGCAGTGTGCCTAATCTTTCCTAATAAGAAGTAAGAAGTGGCCTGTCAGGCCTGAGGGGGCTCAGACAGGGCTGGAGTGAGCTTTATTGCAGGTTGGCCTGCTGGATTTGGTACATGTGGGAGGTTCTTCCCATAGGCTAGTTGGAGTCTCCATTCACAGTCATATCTCATCCCGCCTCCCCCCCCCCAATTGGTAGTTATGTTCGCCGGGGCTTGCTGTCTGCTGTCTCATCTGTCCTGCTCAGTGTACCCACAGAGCGGCTACTGGGGGACCTGCCAGATGAGCTTCTAGAAGCCAGGTCCTGGTTGGCAGGTGAGTGTCTGGGCGGAACGGTGTTACCAGGTATGTGGGTAGTTGGAGTAGATGGGGCTAGGCCAGCCAGTCTGAGTGGTTGTTCACTTTGGGGACTAATACAAGGATCCCAACAGGGACAATTCAGATGGGACTCTGTTCCTTCAGAAGGCTCCCATATCCAATGCCAGACATAACAATGCACGCCTTTTACCCCAGCACTTGGGAAGCAGAGGCAGGTGGAACTCTCTGAGTTCAGGGTTAGCCTGGTCTACACAGTGGGTACTATACCAGACAGGGCTACATAGTAAGATCTGTTTTCTTAAAAAAAGATTTCAAATCCAGATAGGTTATGTGGGAGTAGAGTAAATTCTGGAAACTTCCATGTAGAACCACTCTGGAGTATTTGCCACCCTTTATCTCTCACCTCTCTACATGATCTTTTAAAAAAGTCAGTTGCAGACTCTGACTGTTCACCTCAGAGCCATTGGAAAGCCCATACCCACAACTCCAACTTCCCATGAGGCTTTGTGACTGGCCCTGATACAGAATCAAACGACAGCTTCCACAGTTCTCCTGGCCGGGCAGGGGTCCTACATGTCTTCTATTGCTTTGCTGTTTCTGATGTTTAGTCACAGCAGGTCCCGTTGTCAGCCATCTTGGTCTGAGGTTCTCCTCAGGGTCATGTGCTGGGCTCCCCAGGTTGTCTTCCCTGACTGGTTTTATCCTGTGACCCTGTCCAGTGGAGCTATCCAATCACCTGCCCCTGGGAGCTTAGGGCCCTTTGCTGGGAGAAGCCTGACAGGTGGCTCCTCGAGAAGACTGTGAAGGAGAAGAAATGACTAGCTGGCCCCATGTTAGTCACTCATTCTTTACTTCTTTCTTCCTTGGCAGATGTGGCTGAGAAGGATGTGGATGAGGACTGTAGGGAGCTGGCAGTGAGGGCTCTGCTGCTTCTGGAGAGACTCAAAGACAAGCTCCTATCCATTTCCTCTCCATAGCCCGAGGACTCCACAGGGGCCCAAATGGCCCCTTGGCTCTCCCTACTGGAAGAAGACCACCTCAGAGGAGCTAGGTCTGGAGGGGCTAGTGGTCCCAGTGTGTGTGAATTAAGCTCCTACTAGTCTGAACTTGCTGTTATTTATGCCCTGGCAAGGCTGAGCGTTCAGCAAAAGATACCAGGGCCTGTGCTGTGGGACTCACCAGCCTTAGGCTGACCAGAATTTGGACTGGGGGTGTGGGGCCCAAGAGGTACATCCTCCTGAGAGCAGAACTTTGGGCTCTGTGGCCAGGGCCTCAAGGGTAAAGATAAGGGACAGCTGTTCAGCTTCAATAATACCCCTATGGGGATGCTAGGACAGCAGACCAGGGGTAGCCGGCTGGGTCCCCAGGGGCTTCTTGACAGTGTTTCTGTGAGAATAAACAGGGCCACAGATGTCACACAGTCTGCTTTTGTGGTGTTCACTGGCAAGGACTTTAGTTCCTACATGGGTCCTCATGAGGGGCAGCAAGGAGTACTGGCACTTGAGAGAACAGACTCTGAGCAAACAGACTTTATTTGGAGTCACAGGAGTGTGAGCAGCCATGGATGGTGTGTGGTATCCCAGTCCCTACTCTGGTACAAAGGGCACAGTCCTTGGGGCTCAGGCCTCCCCCAGGTGGTCCTTGCTGTGGTCTCAGGAGCACTGGGCTATGCTGGGGTCTATCAAGTAGCCAACTACAGGCTTAATATTAAGGAGTATCCCCAAGCACCAAGTACAGCTTGGTTCACAAAGTTCTAGAAGTTTCTAAGTCTGTTATTGGGAGAACATGGGAAAGATGAAACTAACTCCCTTTAAAAAGAAGTAAATCAAAACTCACAGGAGTCACCAAGCACCCGGAGGTAAGAATGTTGAAGGAAAGACTTCAAAACACAAACGCAATCATCTTCCTTCCGGTACAGAACTGAGGCAAACCCAGAACCGCATACTCTTCCTGGGCTGCAGTGGCTACGCTCTGTATCCCAACGCCCTGCTTGTACATGACAATGCAGAATTTAGAAACAGTAATAAACAAAAACCAAAACGAGCTGCTTTTCCTAAAATTCCAGGAGGCACATCTCAGCAGTAGGGAGCCAGGACTATCAGGGGTCATTCTCCACCTCTTCCATAACCTCTTCATACACATCCTTATGGTCCTCCATGCTGTTGTGTCGGACTCGCTCGGGCATGATGCGAGATGGTGGCAGGCCCAGGCCCTGGTGCACAATGTCCACAGTGCGCTGGTCCACGTAGTATGATATGTTGGCTGAAGGAAGTCTTTTCCTCATCTCCTCAAGATACTTATAGGCCTAGAACAAAACAACAGTGGAGACTTGAAGGCCCGATAAATGTGACCACCAGTTACTTCTTTAGTTCACATGGAAACATGGCTGCCATATATCATTCATTCATGGTAATAAAGTTTCTTAAACATCAGGTCCCAGCTGCCCTCCCTTGGCCAAGGAAAGCATCCTTGCTCCAGGTGAGAGAAAGGCCTTTGCTACGAGGGGCACCCAGAGTCACTGTTCTTGGGCGCTCTAGTATTTGTAAGGGTACTGTCATGTGGGAGGCCATCAGATGTTCAGGTTCTCAATGGCCAACCCTGATCTGTGATTAACACAAACAGAGACCCTTGAGGGTCCTTTAGCAGCCAGAACACAGGAATTTGGTTTGAGTTCTAGAGCTGCTTTCTCTCTGGAGTCCCTGGACACCTGGCAAAAGAAGGCTGGATCTCTTTTATTCAATCTGGGCATGTGCTTGGCTGAACTGAGGTCAAGCTTCTTGGCTTACTGTTTCTTTTGATCAAGTATCTGGTTTAACCTGGTTATTATTTAAGTTGTTAGGCTAGTTATTAATTAAGTTTGCACAGGGCTGGCAGGACAGGCCCAGTTTCCTGTGGAGTAGCATACTTATGCCTCCCTAACCTTGCACACACATGTTCAACTGCAAGAGCATCTCACGCAGGGGAGGTAAGGAAGACTCACACAGCTTCTAGAGCTTTTACCTCTAGAAGTGCTTATCAGTTCAAAATGTCAACAGAAGTACTAGCAGCTTAAAACGTTTTTAAATGAAGTGTAATTATTAGATATTATTTCTGGCTACTTCTATGTTTTTAAGACAGGATGTAACTATGGCCCTGGAGCACTCTAAGTATGCCAGGCTGGTCTAGAATCTGCAGTGATCTTCCTGCCTCTGCTTCCTGTGAGCTAGGACTGTAGACCTGTGCCACCATAACTGGCTAGATCTGTGTTCTAAAGTATGTCCAAATTCAGAATGACTTTATTGGACAGATAATATATCTTCAAGCGTCACAAATAAGAAACAGCCACCTGGGGCATTTGGTGCTGGATTGGCCTCTGGAAAATTTGTACATGAGCCATCTGGCGCTGTGTCTCTGCTGCCCTCTGAAGGCTTTACTGTGATGCTTGGCTGGCTCTGACATATCATAAGCCTCAGGGCCAGGGGCCAGATGGACATGAACCCAAAGGGATGGGGATGCTGCCCTAGGTATTTAGAGTTGCCTGTCTGTGTCAGGTACTGTGGAGACATAGGAAACACAAGTTCAAAGGACAAACTTAGGACATAGCCAAGGATTGCAGAGGTCAAAGAGAAAGCAAAGTCCAGCTGCAGCATAATGGAAGGAAGAAGGACGCTGGAAAGTCAAGAGCAGACCGGGTTGAGACCTGGGGTCTGGAAGGCACTTGCATCTTGACACAGTGGGGCCGAGGTGAAAAGACCAAGTTTGGGTAGCTCCGAGTAGTCCTTAAGAGAAGAGAAAACTGAGCAGCAACACTAGCAGCTATGAGAGGAAGCAGATTTTGGCCACAATGAGTTGAGGGACAAGAGATGTATGCAGCTGGAATTCTGGAAGGAAGAGAAACAATCTTATGTCTGATATAGAAGATGAAAAAAAAAAATCTAACTCAGACAAAAACCAAGTAGAATGATGGAAATGTCTGGAACACTTTACAAAAGGAAAATAAATTCCAAATATTTGAGGTGCTTAGCATCACTCACTGTGAAAATGTCACAGCCACAATGAGACAGACGACTCCTTATCTAGTATATTGTATAGCCACGGGGATGACTAACGATGAAAAATGGTCATACAAATGCTTGCAAAGAGCTAGTCACTTCTACATAGGACATTATTGTTTATTAGTAAAATGAAAGCTGGGCTGGGGAATATAGCTCAGTTGGTAGAGTACAGCATTGGGTTTAGTTTCCAGTGCTATATAAACAGCTTAGTGGCCCATACCTATAGTTTCAGCACTAGGTGAGTAGAGGTAGGGGGATTAGACTGGACTACATGAGAACCTATCTTAACAACAGCAACAGAACCTTTTAAAAAATGGGTCTGTGGCAGACACTTTCTCAAGGATGAACTAACTGAATGTAACTGGTTCTTTTTTTTTTTTTTTGTCAGACTGACACAGGCTAGGGTCATCTTGGAAGAACCTCAAGTGATAAATACCTCCATTACATTCGTTAGTAGGCATTTTCCTTTCTTTTTTTCTTTTTGTTTTTCCAGACAGGGTTTCTCTGTATTGTTTTGGAGCCTGTCGTGGAACTAGCTCTGTAGACCAGGCTGGTTTCAAACTCACAGAGATCCACCTGCCTCTGCCTCTGCTGGGATTAAAGGCATGCACCACCCACACCTGGCGGCACTTTCTTTCTTTCATGTATATATAATTTTTTCTTATTTTACATATCAATCCCAGTTCCCTCTCCTTCCCTCCCATGTTCCCCCCCCCCCGACCCAAAGATTTACATGTGAGTATTTTGCCTGCACATATATGTGTGTATCTACACGTGTGCCCAGTACCTGGGGAAGGCAGACGGTGTTGGCTCCCTTGGAACTAGAGTTATGTGTGGACGGCGATGAGCCATCATGTGGGTTGTGGGAGCTGAACTGAGTCCACTGCAAGAACAGTAAGTGCTCTAAACCACTCAACTGTCTTGCCATCCCTGGATTTATTGATTAATAATGAGTGGTAGTGCCACTCCTAGGGAGGTAGTCCAGTTGGTCTGAGAAAGCAAGCTATGGGGACAAGCCAAGAAGCCGTGTCCCTTTATGGCATCTGCTTGGGTTCTTTTTCTGTTTTGTTTTGCTTTTCAAGACAGGGTTTCTCTGTAGCTTTGGAACCTGTCCATCCTAGAAATCTCTCTGTAGAGCAGGCTGGCCTCACTCACGGAGTGAGTGCTGGAATTAAAGGCACGTGTCACCACTGCCTGCTTCTGCTTGGGTTCTACTCCAGGTTCCTGTCCTGACTTCCCTCAGTGAAGGACTGTGACCTAGGAGCTGTAAGTGAAATAAACCCTTTCTGCCCTACGTTGCTGTTGGTCATGGTGTTTATCACAGCAATAGAAAGCACACTAGGACAGTGAGCTTGTCACCTCAAAGGAAATAGTAATAATCTGCCATCAACAAGGCCTGTGCTCTAGAGCACCAGGACTTGGGGTAAGCAGGGTGGCCTTACCATTTGATATTCCTCCATCTGTACATGGTGTTCCACCAGGAAGCCATAGACGTCCCCAATTCGGATGGTGCTGTCCAGGTCTGGCTCTTCTAGGAGCAGCTCACACTGTCTGATGGACTCTTTAGGGTCCTCTGTGTACGTCCTAACAAGGTGGCAGACAAGGCTTGACCCCAACCCACAACATGTTGCATGCCAGCAGCTGGCATAGGCACCTGTCCTGCAGGAGCAGCTTTATGCAATGGCCACGTGGCATGTGTGTGTTTGTGTGTGTGTGTGTGTGTGTGTGTGTGTGTGTGTGTGTCTTTACAAGGGGCACATGAAGGGGTGATACATGGAGAAAGGTGTGCCATATTACACAGGCAGATAAAACTAGGAAGAACCTTCCTGTCAGGTGTGTGCATGGACTAACTCTCTGACCCTGTATCAAGACCCTATTAATTGCTTTCTTTTATAAGTTGCCTTGGGCATAGTGTCTCCTCATAGCAATAGAAAAATAAATACCTCAGCCCTGACTAGGCCAAGGCTCCTCTTACACATATCTATTGACTTGAGCTCACTCCTTCTGCACCAGTCTTTTTTCTTAATTCTGTAGTATTAATAATCTTCCCAAGATGGTGTTGAGATTCTGAGGGGGTTCCCAGAGAGGAGCTAGGGTATAATAGGCAACAGTGAATCTTATTTAGCTGTTCCAGAATTACCAGAAGAATATCTGTTGGAAACACAGACTTGGGCTGGTCTCTTAAAGTCAGTTTTAACTCTTCTGAAGGGGAGTGGAGAATCCTGGGATACAAATAGAGGGCCTGGAGTACATGAAAAGCTCCCCCAGGACAGTTTGCCATTACCCTCCTGACCTATTTCTCAAGAGGACATACCTTCGGGCCTGGATGAACCTCTTCACTAGGGTCATCTTGCTTTGTAACTGGGCTAGCTTTGTCTCCTG